GCCATCCTGTTGCAAAGTGGGATCCCCCTCCCCCAACAGGGTTTGCATTGCAAGACCCTTTTTGAAGCGCAGAGATCAAGCCAGGCTCCCATGGTGGGGGGACTGTGGGGGGGGGGGGCAAAGACACTTGAGACGAACCACAAAAGGGTGCCCCTCCAGTGGAACTTAATTACAAAGGGATTTGCAGCCCCACCCTGTGCATATTGACTCAGCAGTCAGTCCTTCTCCGTTCAAAGGGGGGGGCAGCCCCATTCCACCTAGTGATGCTCCTCTCTGTTTAACACCCTCCATCTCCCTTCTCACTGCTGACCCCTCCTGCCCCCCCATCGCTCCCCCCAGGCTCTGCCTCCTGCATCAAGGAGCCGGTCTGGGCGGGGTGTGTGTGTGCTGAGCTCCTCCAGGACCCTGACCTGCCCCGCTCCGAAATCTGCTGCTGAAGCCCCTGCCTCAGTGGGGCTCCTGGTAGAATCATCTCCATGGGGGGAGATATGGAGAGCGGCTGATGTGAGAAGGAGACTAAAGGAAAGGATTTGCTTCTTGGGAAGGGGGTGACCCCCCCCCATTTCGGCAGAGTGGGGGACAATGGGGGAGGGTTTGCTGCCCTGTTTATGTGCCCCTGAAGGGGAGGGAAGAGGCACATTTTGGATTTCCTGGAGCTTGGAAAAAACACCTGACCGGTTTCCCTCCTGCTAAGCAAGGAAAACGGGTAAATGTGTGGAGGGATTTAAAACTAATCTGGCAGGTTTAGGTCTGTGCTCATGAGGGGCCAGTTTTGACCCCCTGGTTATTTTTCACCCTGTTCTATCTCACAGAGTTGGGAAGAAAGAAGCGCAGCTCCTTTCTTTGAAATACAACTGGGACAGTCCCGGAAGTGGCCAGTTTGACGCCTCCTCCAAATCTCCTACAGGCAGCGCAATGGCCTCAGAGGCACCGTTTGCATTGTCTCTTCTTAAAGGTGGTGTGGAAGGAGGAGCCAGGCAGCTTCCTCAGGTAAGGAAAGAGCTTCGGGGAATCGGATAGGAGAGAAGAGAGGCACAGATGGGACCACCCAGCCTCCCTCTGTGTTGAGTGGGGATGATGGGGATCTAAGAGAAGCTCTGTTTTCTTCCTCTTCTTCTTCCAGGCCCTCTTGACCTTTGAGGAGGTGGCTGTGTTTTTCACGGAGGAGGAGTGGGCTCTGCTGGATCCTGGCCAAAGAGCTCTGCACACGGAAGTCATGGAGGAGAATTATGAGAAGGTGGCCTCTCTAGGTAAGGGCAGATTTGTATCCCTCTTGGCTGTTAGACGTTGGAAGTGTGACTCTGCTGTTTGTGCCATTTATTCATCCCGTGTCTTCTTCTTTGGTGACCCCTCGTAGCCCCCGTGTGAGCCTACATGTTTTTTGGCAGGCTATTTCTGGAATCCGAGCTCACACTGACAGTCTGTGTTTTCCCCCTTTCCTGCTCTTCTTTGAGAGCAGGCTCCTACTGCAGCTTAGCTGCAACTCCCCTGCTTCACATTCCAGCCTAATCTCATCTTCCTGTGTCCCAGCATTCTCAAGACACTGTCAGCAGAGGCACGAAAGGCAAGGAGCTGACAAGCAGCATAAATCCCTTTTTTATAATTGCAACAAAGGAAACACAGAAAGACTGAAACCACCATCTTGTGTCACAAGTAATCTTTAAACTGTCCTACGTTGTTTATCTTTTAAAAATTCATTGTTTTACAATACCTTCTCATTCATGGCTACGTGTCATGTTCAGGAGTTCCCCCCTCCCTTTTGAAGAAGAAGAAGAAGAGTTTGGATTTGATATCCCCCCTTTCACTCCCTTTAAGGAGTCTCAAAGCGGCTAACATTCTCCTTTCCCTTCCTCCCCCACAACAAACACTCTGTGAGGTGAGTGGGGCTGAGAGACTTCAGAGAAGTGTGACTGGCCCAAGGTCACCCAGCAGCTGCATGTGGAGGAGCGGAGACACGAACCCGGTTCCCCAGATTACGAGACTACCGCTCTTAACCACTGGCTCTCAGTGTGGCTCACCGATGAGAATTAATGAGCAGTTGGTTGATTTCTAGTCTTTTTATTACAGGATCATGTTGCTAGCACAATCAGGCAACTCCTCCCAAGGATAGCAGTACTCACCCACTTCCAAAGAAATGTCCCTCCTTCCCTGCCTCTCCTTTGTTCTCTGACAGTCACATATCTCAGAGAATTGGGGGGGGGGAGTTTTCCCCCACTCTGATTGATGTATTGCCCAGCTGCTTCCCTCCATCCTGTTGCCTAGCTACTATCTCAACACTTGGTAGCTCCTGTCTCAAACTTGCAGCCTCTGAATATGCCTGTCTCTCTGCATTGTGAAACTCTGGAAGGGGGGGGGCATATAGTCCCTCTCCTCTTCTGTTAGAAGCTGATCTTCCTGCGATCGCATTCCTCAATCCTCTGATTCAGATCAGTCCCTGACACTACATTCATGGCATAGTAGACAAAATCCCTGGTGGCAGCCGGAATAAAGGAGGTGCTGAGGGGAAGAACCAATATGGGGAGGGAAGGTGGCACTGGGAAATGTGGGCATTGCCAGTGGTTTCAGGAGAGTCGTCTCCCTGTGGAGAGAGGAATCTCTGTGCCCCCATAACTGGCCCATCTTTCAGATATCTGTAGAAAGAGCAGGCAGTATAGCAGGCCAAAAGCAGAGTTCATCTGGAGTTGCTCCTCCCTCTGTCGGCATTGAGCATTTGCCCATGACATGAAGCAGCCACAGCAGGTGCTGCAAGCTGCCCAGAGTTGGACTTCACCCCCAAAGGCCCCCTCCTCCATCGCCTCCCGAGACAGACGGATGCCAACAGGGTCTCTCTGCCTGCCAGGATTGCACCTGGGACCTTCTCCTGCATGCAAAGCATTGAATTTGAGACCTTTATTAAAACAACAATATTAATTTATTCAAAGTAAATACAGCTTTGTCCACTGCCATAATATCACAGAATGATCACTCCAGTCCTCAATCCAAAATCACAGTCATGTTGGCTCCCCCAACACCCTCAATAGGAGCCCAACTACCCATCTGCTTGGCTAGACACTTCCAATCATAATATCCCCTCCACAAATACCTCTGTGATGATGGTGGTGGTGGCATTAAAATATCCTGTTGTTCTTCAATCAAGGGAGAAAAAGGGAGACCAGATTGTGTCAAAGGTATCTTTTTTGGAGATACCTTTGATGAGACACCAATGGTATGTGAGGTGTTCTGACAGAGCAATGATCCAGATGTTATTGATCCAAGCCTCTATTGCTTTTAGAGCTTTCCTTCCATCGTTTCGCAATAACTGTAGTCTAGCTGCTGTGAACAGAAAGGAAATTAATTCTTTAGACTGAAGCGTAGAATATGGGGTCAAATACGATTATAATAAGGTAAGTGCTGAATAAGGACAGATAGATTGTTGAGAGATTTTGGAGGTCAGATAAAAAGCAATGGAATATGGTACACCCCCACTAAACGTGAAAATGGGAATCCGAGACCTTCCGCATGCAAAGAAACTGATCTACGACTGAGCTGCACCCCCCTAAAAACATAACAAAGCCTAACTTTCTCCATCACCTCCCTCTTTTTTTACAAAAGGCACGCATTGAAATGACACAGGACCAGCCTTTAGGGTTGTCTTAAGTTACTGCTCTAAACCCTTTCCCAGGAGGAGGCTTTTCAGAAATGCGGGGGGGGGGGGTCCGTCTTTCGCTGCCTCTGCGGGGAATTGAACCCAGGAATTTCTCATGAAGTAAACAGAAATATAGACCTCTGTTGCTGTGAAGGGAATTTCTGTTTGCAGGGAGGGGGAGGCGGATCTCCTGCCCCTCCCCCTCCCTCTGGGTCAATGAGCTCCGCTTCCTAGAGAGGCAGGAAATTTGTTTTCCTTTTGTGGGGCGGGGGGGCTATTTGTAGGGGCGGAATCTCCGTCTTCATTCCCGGAAGAGAAGCGGACTTGGAGAAGAGGAGAAAGAGGTGCCGCATATTGGGGGGTTATTTGGGGGTGGGGGTGTTGTGGGAGAAGGATTTGCTTTCCCTCCCCCTGCATCTACAAAGAGGGCAGCTGGGAAAGGAGGCGGGAGGATTGCGGGGGGTGTGTGTGCAAAGAAAGCAGGGAGGGGCCTCGCTCTTTCCCTGTGGGAATCAGTGGAGTTGGGGGGTGGATGCAGGACATCCTGTGGGGTCCCCCTCCCCCAACAGGGTCTGCATTGCAAGATCTTTTTCGAAGCGCAGCGAAGACGCTTGAGATGATCCACAAAAGGGTGCCCCCCCCAGTGGAACTTAATTACAAAGGGATTTGCAGCCCCACCCTCTGCATGTTGACTCAGAAGTCAGTCCTTCTCTGTTCAAAGGAGAGCAGCCCCATTCCACCTAGTGATGCTCCTCTCTGCTTAACACCCTCCATCTCCCTTCTCACTTCTACCCCCCCATAGCTCCCCCCAGGCTCTGCCTCCTGCATCAGGGAGCCGGTCTGGGCGGGGGGGGGGGGTGCTGAGCTCCTCCAGGACCCTGATCTGCCCCCCTCCAAAATCGCTGCTGAAGCCCCTGCCTCAGTGGGGCTCCTGGTAGAGCTGGTTCCATGGGGGAAGATATGGGGAGCGGCTGATGTGAGAAGGAGACTAAAGGAAAGGATTTGCTTCTTGGGAAGGGGGCGCCCCTCCCCTCCCCATGTTGGCAGAGTGGGGAACAATGGGGGAGGGTTTGCTGTCCTGTTTATGTGCCCCTGAAGGGGAGGGAAGAGGCACATTTTGGATTTCCTGGAGCTTGGAAAAAACACCTGACCGGTTTCCCTCCTGCTAAGCAAGGAAAACGGGTAAATGTGTGGCGGGATTTAAAACTAATCTGGCAGGTTCAGGTCTGTGCTCATGAGGGGCCAGTTTTGACCCCCTGGTTATTTTTCACCCTGTTCTATCTCACAGAGTTGGGAAGAAAGAAGCGCAGCTCCTTTCTTTGAAGTACAACTGGGACAGTTTGACGCCTCCTCCAAATCTCCTACAGGCAGCACAATGGCCTCTGGTGGAGAGGAAAGAGGAGTCAGGCAGCTTACTCAGGTAAGGAAAGAGCTTTGGGGAATCGGATAGGAGAGAAGAGCGGCATAGATGGGACCACCCAGCCTCCTTCTGTGTTGAGTGGGGATGATGGGGATCTAAGAGAAGCTCTGTTTTCTTCTTCTTCCAGGCCCTCTTGACCTTTGTGGAGGTGGCTGTGTTTTTCACGGAGGAGGAGTGGGCTCTGCTGGATTCTGGCCAAAGAGCTTTGCACAAGGAAGTCATGCAGGAGAATTATGAGATGGTGGCCTCTCTAGGTAAGGACACATTTTTATTCCTCCTGGCTGTTTGATGTTGAAGTTGCAAAACTACTGTTTGAGCCATTTATTCATGCCTTGTCTTCCTCTTTGGCGAAGCCTTGTAGCCAAATAAGATTGTCTTCCATGAACATGGTCTTAATGGTGTGTCCGTAAGTGACTGTAGAGTCCAATTCTGGATCCACGCATCCTTCCACAGTGGGGACATAGGTTTCCGGGCAGGAGTTAATTACAGTGAGCCTTTGCCAAATGTGCTTTCCTCTTAGCTTGTTTCTCCCTTTCATCCTGAGTTTGTGCTTCTTCAAAGTCCATGACGCCTTTGGTAAAGGTTATTCTCTAATTGGATAACAACAACAACAACAACAATTTATCATTTCTACCCCGGCCATCTGGCTGGGTTACCTCAGCCACTCTGGGCAGCTCCCAATAATTTTTTAAAAATGGAATCAAACATTAAAAACTTCCCTAAAAAGGGCTGCCTTCAGATGTCTTCTAAAAGTCAGATAGCTGTTTATTTCCTTGACATCTGATGGGAGGGCGTTCGACAGGGCGGGCGCCGCTACCAAGAAGGCCCTACCTGGTTCCCTGTAACCTCACATCTCGCAGTGAGGGAGCGCTCGCAAACCACTGTTTCCCAATTTTCTGTGCTTATACTGCATTTTTAAGATTTGCCTTGAGACCGTCTTTAAGCCTCTTTTGTTGTCCACCGGTATATCAATTTCCATTCTTAAATTGGGAATAGAGTGGTTTCTTTGAAAGACGATAATCAGGCATCTGAACAATATGACCAGCCTACCGAAGTTGATGTTGAAGATTGTTCTTTATAGCAACACTGTACTTTTGTCAGTAGGTAACTCTTCATAAGCTGATACTGTGGTATGAATTCGCAAAAAAACCTATGTATAATATACAAAGAGACACCATACAAATAGTGGTGGCATGAGCCTTACTGGTACACGTCATTTATTAGCTTTTAATGAGCCATCAGATACTATGCTGTCTTTGCTTCACAAGATTAATCTTTTTCAATATTTTTACAGTCACATATGACATAAACAGCACTTCTGTTTTACTTATTCCTCATAGCAGAGACATTAATACAGCGGTACCTCGGGTTACGAACTTAATTCGTTGCGGAGGTCTGTTCTTAACCTGAGGCGTGTTTTCGCTAATGGGGCCTCCTGCGCCGCCGCCACGTGATTTCCATTCTCATCCTGGGGCTCGCAACCCAGAGCAACTACTTCCGGGTTAGCGGAGTTTGTAACCCAAAGCTTTTGTAACCCGAGGTACCACTGTATTCAAGTCTGAGCTCATCTTCTCACTTGGAACAGAAAAATACAGGGGTGTTGTCATGGACCAATTGAGAGGTCCATACTTCCACTTTGCTGTGAGACTGTACCTTTGTATGTCTCCTTTCAGTGTGTATGAATATAAAAAGATCCCTTTTGGATCAGAACAAGGGCCAATCTTTGCCAGCACCCTGGTGCAGGTTTAGGTGATGTGAACAGTTTCCTGGAATGTATCAGCGAGATATTGCAGATCAGGGAGGAAGGAGTCCTGAATACAGAGTCATAGCAATTTCACAAGAGGGGGAAGATGGGGTAAGTGTGTATGTCCAGAGGTTGCTGCATTACAACTCCCATCATCCCTGGTCATTGGACTTCTTTTATTGGGTTGATGGTTCTTAGATTCCGGCCACAACTGGAGGGCCATAGATGCCTCAAATCAGCACAGAAGGTTTCTCTTGGTATTCAGTGTTACATGCGAGTTGAAGGTAAAACTGGATACTAAGGGTTCTGGAGATTATTTTCAGATTTCCTTTCTTTTCCTAAAGATGTGGTACATGGGAGAGGGAGGAATGCTGGAGGTGTTAAAATAGGAGAAGGTGCTGATTGGTCTTGCTGAGTGTTACGTTCTCTTGTTCTCTTCCTTGAATACCTAACAAAATTCTCTTTCTCTCCCACTTTCAACCAGGTGATGGAGAAGACAACCAGAATTTTGACGGGCCATCTGTAAAGTACTTCAGCATGAGTGAACATCGTAGCACACAACTACAAACTCATACAGGAGAGAAACCCTTTAAATGCATGGAGTACGGAAAGAGCTTCAGTGAGAGTGGAAATCTTACAAGACATCAACAAAGTCACACAGGGGAGAAACCATTTAAATGTATGGAGTGCGGAAAGAGCTTCAGTCGTAGTGCAAGCCTTACTATACATCAACGAACTCACACAGGGGAGAAACCATATAAATGTATGGAGTGCGGAAAGAGCTTCAATCAGAATGCAAACCTTATTGTACATCAGCGAACTCACACAGGGGAGAAACCATTTAAATGTATGGATTGTGGGATGGGTTTCAGTGAAGGTGGAACACTGACAAGACATCTACGAACTCACACAGGGGAGAAACCATTTAGATGTATGGAATGTGGCAAGAGCTTCAGTCAGCGTTCATACCTTACTATACATCTTCGAACTCACACAGGGGAGAAACCATATGAATGTTTGGAGTGCGGAAAGAGTTTCAATCAAAGTGTACATTTGAGAATACATCAACGAACTCATACAAGGGAGAAACCATATAAATGTTGGGAGTGTGGAAAGTGCTTCAGTAAGAGCGTAACTCTTAGAAAACATCAGCAATCTCACAGGGAAGCAACGGTTTAAATGTTAGGAGTGTGGAAAGTGTTTCAATTATAATGTAGTTCTTAATTAACAGTTACGGACTCTCACAGGGAAGAACCCATTCAGTTTTATGGAGTGTGCCAGGTTTTCCTCACAGAGTTTACTTTGTCTCTCATTTCAACAAACTCTTATATGGAAAATCCATTGTAAATGCATGAAGTATGCTTTATGTTCTGGTGTTTGTATGGAATATTGTACATATATGTATTAAAGCAATGAAGGTAATGTCTCATAATCATAAGTATAATGAAAGATACAATGTACTGTTAGGGATGTGCAGAATGCGACACTGGAGTGCTCATTGTGCGTGAACATGTGCTGAGAGTCCATTGATATTTGGTCTTTGGCAGAGAGAGTTGAGAATGGAGAGTTGTGAAAAGTAGAGCACAAAAGTGGTGTTTAGGAAGCAGGATTGGCTCTGGAATCCTAGAACTGTAGAGTTGAAAGGGACTGCAAGGGTCTTCTAGTCCAATTCCCTGTTATAAGAGCAGCAGTGTAATGGCTTGGGTTTCTCCTACATAAATGAGACATCTCCGGCAGTAATTATCTCAGATTTATTGCTGCAACACGTAAATCACTGCGGAGCTCAGTCCTCAGCGTCTTCTCCCAAGTTTGCTGTTGCCGTCTGAGCTCTACCCCTTCCCAGCAATGAAAGCCCCATAAATCCACAACAGCATGGCCATAAACCTGTATGTTCAACTGCTAAAATATACACCCAATATGTACCAATTGAGATTTATGTTACTGCTTTATAAATGAACACTGTGTTTTATGAATGGACTCTGTATTTTGTGAATTACCTAAGAGCCACCAATAGGGAGCTCTAGAGTGTGACAGCTAACCTATCGGGTACTACCAAACAGCGACCCCTATTGCTGAAAGCAGGTAACCAGCAGGGAACGCTTCAGCTCAGCCTTTGCACTGTTAACTGAACACCCCCTGCTGTGCAGATAATGAAGAAAGCTTATAAATTCTACCCCTTCTGGTTTTGATTGGCAAAACTTGTTACATTGTTGCAAGAAAGTGTCAAAATTGTATTCCCTTGTAATTGACAGTGCTAATGGACTACTAACCTTTGAAAAATCACATGAAAGCAATGCCATAACCGATTCTCCCCATTTCAGTGACATTTTGCTTCAAAAGGAAAGGCGGACTTGGGCTTTGCCTTCCTCCATAATCCTCTAAGTGACAGGTCACATACTCAGCTTGGATACTACCCTCCTCCATAATCCTTGGGGTATACAGTCAAGTACAGAGCACCCCTCCCTTGAGGGGAAGAATGAACATCCGTTGATGGGGTTCCTGAGGCCACGTGTTCCCACAGCCCATACTCGGGAAGGCCAGAAGGCAAGGATATGCATAGATAGTTTTATTAGTCTTTAGGTGGTGGGTACATAAGGTGTTAGAAGGGACACGGGTTGCGCTGTGGGTTAAACCACAGAGCCTAGGACCCGTCGATCAGAAGGTCGGCGGTTTGAATCCCCGCGATGGGGTGAGCTCCCGTTGCTCGGTCCCTGCTCCTGCCAACCTAGCAATTTGAAAGCATGTCAGGTACAAATAGATAAACAGGTACTGCTCTGGCGGGAAGGTAAACGGCGTTTCCGTGCACTGCTCTGGTTCTCCAGAAGCGGCTTAGTCATGCTGGCCACATGACCCGGAAGTTGTACGCCGGCTCCCTTGGCCAATAAAGCGAGATGAGCGCCGCAACCCCAGAGACGGTCATGACTGGACTTAATGGTCAGGAGTCCCTTCACCTTCACTTAAGGTGTTGGGAACTTGATCTGATAACCAGGGTGTCAGGAGTCCAGTTCCTGGCTTGATAACACAGTGAGCATAGTTCATTAAAGGATGATTTATTGTCACAACGAACGGCTCTAACGCGGCCATCGCCATGATTAATCATGATGACCCTTCAGAAGTCTGCTTCCGGCAAGACCAGAAGCAACTGAACTTCTTTTGCCCTGCCTCCTATCCTGTAGCCCTCCCATTTGCTGAGACCTGGGACTAAGAGGGTCAGCTCTCTCCTCCTCATTATCTGAGGGACTGTCTCTTCGCTCCTCCCTGATTAACTGTTTCCTTCTCTATTTGCTGCATTTTGCGCTCTCGCTTCTGGAGAGCCTAAGGGTGGGGGAGTTGGCACTAGGCTATGCTCACACTGTCTGGCAGTTAACCCTCTCTCTTCCTGGCTACTTCCTTCACTGGGAGCTGTCTGCAAACCTTCCCTGCTCACTGGCTCATTCATGACACCCCCCCAAGGTCCTCTCCCTGCTCCCCCTCCTTGTGAGGGGCGCTGCCAAAGCCTCCCCACCATTCATCCTCACTCTCTTCCCAGTAACCTCCCCCTTATGGGTTTTCCTGTACTTCCAATCCCCAATCTGCCTCACTCTCTTCATCTTCTTCCCACGCCTCATACTCTTGGTTTGGGTTTGTTGGTGTACCAGTGGTGAAACTCCACCTGCAACCTAGGGGCTTGTATGTTCCCAGAGTCCTCCCATGAATTTTCCTCATCCCCGTACCCCTTCCAAGACACTAGATACTGCAATCTTCTCCCGCTCCAGTGAGAGTCCAGCAGTTGCAGCACCTCATATTCAGGTTCCCCCTCTACCATTATAGGAGGGGGTGGCAACTCTTTTGGCGGTTGATACTGGTGCAAAGGCCTCACGGGAGACAAGGACAAATGAAAGACAGGGCGTATCTTCATGGATGCAGGTAGTTGAAGCTTGAACGACACAGGGTTAATTTGCTCTACCACCTCATACATCCCCACCCTCTGAGGATCCTGCTTAGGACTCTGCCCCTTACTCGGCAAATCTTTGCTAGACAATCACACCTGGTCTAATACAGACTCTCACAGGGGAGAACCCATTTAGATGTATGGACTGTGCCAAGTTTTCCTTGCAGAGTTCACTTTGTCCCTCATATCAACAAACTCATATAGGGGAAAATCAATTGTAAATTTATGGAGTGTATTTGATGTTCGGGTGTTTCTGTGGAAAGTTGTACATATATGTATTAAACCAATGAAAATGTCTCGTAATAATAAGTATAATGAAAGAGATAATGTACTTGTCAGGGAACTGACATCGGAGCCAGAGGCGGAGGCAAGGCTCCCAAGCGATGCTGGAGAAGGGCCCAGCAGGGAGAGAGGGAGCTCATCAGCTGGGGAAGGAAATCAGCGTAACACCAGGGATAAAGGGGGGCAGATGGGGGAATCGGCGAGGGGCTCCAGGACTCCTCGCCGGAGACCAGCGGGGAGAGCACGGGTCCTCCGCTACCCACACCCTCCTGCGCAGCAGACTTCTGCACAGGGAGAGTAGGAGGAGACTTGGCGTCAAACAGCTTTTATGCTGGAAAAGGTTTAAGAAACGCCCACTGACGGATTCTGCTAGCGACTGAAACAGCCACGCAGTGAAGGGCTGTCCAGACAGAAAAGGTTTAACAAGGCAACCTAGCCAGGAGTGGCGGCAACTTACGCACGAGCAACCCCTATATTTATTACAGTACTGTTAGGGATGGGTAGAATTTGACTCTGGAGTGTTCATTGTGAGTGAGCATGTGCTGCGAGTCCATTGATATTTTGTCTTTACAGAGAGAATTGGGAATGGAAAATTGTGAAAAGAGGAGCACGGCAGTGGTGTTTAGGAAGCACGATTGGCTCTGAAAACCTAGAACTGTAGAGTTGAAAGGGACTCCAAAGGTCTTCTAGTCCAATTCCCTGCTATAAGAACAGCATAAAGCCCATTTTTATAATTGTAACAAAGGAACAATGAAAACACAGAAAGACTGGAAAGTAATCCTTAAACAATCCTACATTGTTAATATTTTATAAATTATATAACGCAGTTAATATTTTATAAATTCTTTCATCATTTCACAATAACTGTAGTCTAGCTGCTGTGAACAGAAAGGAAATTAATTCTTTAGACTGAAGCGCAGAATTTGGGGTGAAATCTAGTTATAATAAGGCAAGTGCTGAATTAGGACAGATAGATGGTTTAGAGATTTTGGAGGTCAGATAAAAAGCTCTTCCCCAGAAGACATGGACCATGGTACACCCCCACCAAACATGAAAATAGGAATCCGAGACCTTCTGCATGCAAAGCAACTGCTCTACCACTGAGCTGCACCCCCCCCCATAACAAAGCCTAACTTTCTCCATCAGCTCCCTCTTTTTACAAAAGGTACACATTGTAATGACACTGGACCACCCTTTAGTGTTGTCTTAAGTTACTGGTCTAAACCCCTTCCCAGGAGGAGGCTTTTTAGAAATGGGGGGGGGTCGTCTTTCGCTGCCTCTGAGGGGAATTGAACCCATGAATTTCTCCATAAATACACGGGAATATAGAGCTTGCCGGCTAAGAAGGGAATTTCTGTTTTGCAAGGAGGGTGAAGCGGATCTCCTGCCACACCCCCTCCCTCTGGGTCAATGAGCTCCGCTTCCTAGAGAGGAAAATCCACGTCAGCAGGGCGCACTTTCTAATCTGTGCAGCCTTCTCTTATTGACAACATTCGCTGCCTAGGACTGTTACAGAAATGTTAGTAATTTTGTATTAACAAGGGCTAATCCTCTTCCAATAGCAGCAATCACCACACAGTCATTCCTCTTTCGTATGTGTGGAAAAACCCTTCCTGCGCAAAACTCAGACAAATTTTGGCTGTTCTGTCCTGGTTGCTCTGCAGTTCATAAGACTGAACTTCTCTTGTCTTCAAGGTTGACAGCGTATGAATCAATATGGCTGATGTCTCTGAGAGTGAGGCTGACTCTGAGAATGAGAGGTCGCAGCCACCAGCAGGAGGGAGGAGAGGGTGAAAATGCTACGTAAGGGGAAGGGGGGAAGGACCGGATATCGCTGGCCTTTGTGTTGTCTGGGAAACGGAAACTGAGACTGAGCACTTCGTATCTGAGAATGACAGGTGTTTCCTGCGCTGAGATTATTACAGCTGACTTGACCCAACAATCCCTTGCCCTCACACACACAAAC